TTATATAGTGAAATGTAAATGTTCGAATCTATTTTTTTACATATCCGGTTTCTTTTTTTTTTTTTTTTTTTTTTTGTTTATTATATAGTGAAATGTAAAGTAGAAATTTAAAGTATTTAAATATATTTGATACAGTCATTAATTAATGAATACGATACGTTTGCTTACATGATCGAATATTGTATTAATTGTGCAGTGAAGTTATAGGGGACACGTGGTTTAAACAAGACTATCGCATTGATGAAACCAAACAATTACTGCAAGGAATAGATTAAGGCATCAGTTTACGGTTCTCATTATCGAGCTGTCTATCGTACAATACGAAAGACGAAAGCGATACGATCTCATTTTGGGTTTATGATACTTGACTGATTGCTTTCCTATCGAGTTAAGGATCTTCATGTTCGTTGCGTTTATAACGGTGTAGGAATGACAAATTAATGAATGCAAAGAAGGTCAAAAAAAAAATAAATAAATAAACAAACAAACCAAATATATGTTTATTCCAATTGTCCCTATTTACCGCAGTCTATTAAATTCCGTCTTGCTCTTGCTCTATTGATGCACCAAGCCCTGTATTGGCTGGAAGTGGTGACCCGTACTACTACTGGTAACTTTTTAAGGCTTAGTCGAGTTGCGAATCCTATTGTATGCTATGTATATGGTTTACGTGGTAGGGAGCATCTGTCTGAGTATGTTAAGCAGTTCTTGGGATGTACATTTGAAACATTCCCATTATTGCCAGTAGCCTTGTGTTTATCCGATAGTTAAATGCAACTTGCCTCTTAATCTATGCTCTGAATATTCTTTTATGAATGCTACTGAGAATCTACATGTTTCTATATCTATGATCAGATCTAGCTATTTTGAGAGATCACACAAAGTTACAAATGTTTACATTTAATTTTTTTCGCGTTTTTGAGCTTTTAGGCTTTAGGCATTTTTCATAACGCAAACATGACAGAATATTTAAAGCCATTTTGCACATTCCCCAAATGAAGATATATTATGTCTAAAAATGGACTAATTCCAAAATGAATATGGTAGACACTGCAATTAATTTTTTGTTAATAATACTGACAGTATGCGTATCAAATAAAAGAACTTCTGGGGTGGAATGCGAAAAGTGTAGTGGTGGGTATGCGAGATTCGGCTTCCGCCGAATATGATTTCCTTACTTGTTTCAATTGTCTAATTTTTCTTTTCTTAATTGCAACATTAATATTTATTATTTCCATTCTAAATTTGTCGGTCTGTACAGACTATGTTTCTAGTATGTTCTTATATTTCCACCTTTTATCGTTTCCACCAAATTTTTCGTTAATTCCATATTCGTTTGTCTCTTTTCATATTTGAAGGCACCACCAAATAAAACCATCGAAACTAGTTATTTGATCTTATTATTCTTGCCAACATTTTGGAATTTTTCAGATTATACAATTACCCTATGTCCATATTTTATTTCATTTTCCCTTTAAGTACCAAGCTTGACAGCTATTTCACCGTTGAGCTAAAAGATCATCTCACTCTCGTTATCGAAGAAACACTCATACGCTATCAAGGACTATCAACCGAATTTTACTTTAATAATAATCAGAACGCCCCAAATGGAAATTCGACATCGAGTTTGCTCGGTAATGAGGACCGCAAACGGACCCAAGATTTCCGTGAACTGGCCGTAAAATATCACAGAATGGGTTGCATTTTTCGGTTCAAAAACAAACCCGTACATTAGTAATCAACAATCTCATTCCAAAGGATTACAAAGAAGAGCTACGAACTAACAATGCTGTCAATGTTTGTAAAAACTCTTAGAAACAACATGGGCCAAGTACTTTCAATCCTCTATATCGCATTTAGATAATTCATACGTACATATAAGAGTAAGAGTAAGCAAAAAGAATGTCTTGTACTCGCCTAGCTCAACCTCGCCAAACAACTCAACAACCGATATATATCAATTTAGAGTGCACCTCGTGAACATTATTTAAGATGTTGGCTGACAGCAGTGCTCAATAATAATGTTTTAAATTTTAGTTTAAGATCGACGTCTGGCAAGATATGGGTATTAAGAGAGATTTTGATTATTGCATCGGATAATGAAATTAAGTTATCAATCTTAAATGGCTTAAAAAGTTCATAATTGCACATGCACTAATTAACTTGTATCAAAAAAAATTCCTTGTATTGGACGGTTAGGAACATTAATATCAATCTTACTTAATATAATTGGCGAGTCAACGACACCATTTACCAACTTTGCTACGAGTGTCTAAATACTCACCTTAAGCATTTTGTCTGGAAAGTTTATTAGTTCATATTTATATTCTTTTTTAAAAATTCTGATATCGATAACCAGGCCTTTAATGTTGGTAAAGCTTAGTCCAATAGGACTGCTTTACTTCCATTTGCTTGTCTTAAGGTTGTGTCCCAATAATTCATCTTTCCTTTTGAAGTTAAATTTGTGCATGCTTCAAGAACGTTTGAATGTTATCTATATTCTTTGGGTATTTGCCGCGCTAATCTCATCGATGCCAGTGTATCGAAAACAAGCAATCAGTAAGCATCTGAATATATCGATTACAAGTAAAACTTACAGAAAATTTTGCGAATTTACGGCTTTAAAGTCTGCCTCTCTTTTTCTTCATGACTGCTTGAGAAGAATGCTGAAGTTAGGTTGGACAGCTTAGCTGTGCGTTATGGCAAACTTTGACATAGTTCCAACGAAAATTTACCTTAACTCATGGAAATAAATAATTTATAGATTTCAACTAAACCCAACCTTTTAAGGTTTTTAGGAATGTTATATTGATCACCGTGATCCAACAATCAAACCTTAAAGAAAGTAAGAGAAAAAAAAACCAGATAGAACGTTCTTCGATATACGCGCTTTAGAGCCATAAAACATGTACCATTTTCTTGTTTCTAATAAAAGTTTTCATCTACTCTTCTTCTCAAAAGGTCACTGTACATATTCAATTTTAGAGTAACACATTTTACTTGGTTTTATAAATTTATTTTTCGGAATATTTTAATGAAAATACAAAACCTACCTTCAAATTGAACAAAAAAGAAAAAAAGAAAAATCATTCGACAACTCTGTTTTTACTACATATCTATTTTTTCTACAGTTGGTAATGTTTGGCGTACAGTTTGGAAATTACTGCTGTTGGTTATGTCAAAAGAATTCCAATTTTTGTATTCTTTTTTTTTTTTTTTTTATTTGTGGACTAAGGCAAATCAAAATTTTCAGTTTCCCAGTTTTCGTCGTTATGAATTCAAGCAGTAATTGAGGAGTTAATTAAATTCAATTATATATAAATGCCAGCACTTGGTAAACTGAAAAGAATTAAAAAGTCAACCGAGCAAGTGGATTTATGTTCTCTTGAAGACGGTGAATTGAGAAAGTAAAGTGCTCTGTCTTTGTTATGATTTGGGGCTGTAATCATAATTGAAATGATCACACAACGTACACACACACAGGAAGTACATTAACTGTGAAGCAATAACAGTAGAAGGCATTAAGGGCGAAAGTGTTCGCCAATAATCGGAGCGCAAAATCACTTATTTTATGGATACACCAGTAACAACGAGTTGTGCATATTAAGGCTATCGGTCGACCAATGAATAATAATTTTAAATATAGCGATTTAATTATTGCAAAGAAATCGCCTGGAATGTAATTTTAAAGGCTTCGCGAATATGCAAATGCTATCAGAGTTCAAAAAGTTCTCAAAGAATTGAAAGAAGTCTGTGCGTGATAGCTGTGTATAGCCGCACATAGTGAGCTTAACTCACTAAAAGATATGGCACAATTTAGCTTGTAAGTGGATTTCTTACATATACATATATATGTATATATATATATATATATGACTGAAATCTGAAAATATTAACAGTTTCAGTGTAATAAATCGTATTTAGGAATTAAATTTCAATATTGAAATATGATCGTATATTAAACAAAAAAATTTGAGTTTAAAAAGTTTTCATATAAGAATAGTTTATTTTCACTTTCAGTTACAATAGCAAACAGCATGGCAATTCTGAAATTGAGACGAATGATATTAGTCGCAATAGTAATGATCATGTTCCCCTCTGCTCGATTAATGATGTTCAATTAAGATTTTTGGTTCCCGATGATTTATCAGAAGTATGTGTATGTTTACTTTCCTTTTATATTTTCTCTCATTACATATTCCTATTATATAAATTTAATATATTGCGATATATAACTCGTTATTTTATATTTTTTATTTTTATATATATATGTATATATACATTGGATTAATCATTAATTTATTAACAGGTACGAACGCTATGCCAAGATTGGTTTCCTATAGATTACCCTTTGTCGTGGTATGAAGATATAACTTCCAGCTCGAGATTCTTTTCATTGGCGGCTGTGTACAATTTGGCCATAATTGGTTTAATAGTGGCAGAAATAAAACCGTACAGAAGCCTAAATAAAGAAGTATTTAATTACAGTTTAATATTTTAATATTTTTATTATTTCGTTTCATTTCGTTTCTTTCTATAGGACAGAGGTATATTACCCGACGGTTTAGGGAAGACTGCTGATATAGGTTATATTCTATCGCTTGGCGTTCATCGAAAGCATCGACGTAACGGTATTGGGTCGCTGCTGTTAGATTCGTTGATTAATCATTTGACGACAGCTGAAAGGCAATCGGTTAAAGCAATATTCCTCCATGTGTTGACAACAAATGAACCTGCCATACTATTTTATGAAAAACGAAGGTTAGTTCACAATCACTTGTGCAAATTAATTAAATGAATGGAAGAATTAACGCATATATATTCATACGTATATGTGCATATACCCCCGATTAGCTCGGAATTATAAATTGACATTCACCGATACAATATTCAATACTATTTAGAATTAATATAGAAAGCTTAAACTTGATTCTTATACTCGAAAATCGAATTCATATACATATTCGCTGCATAATCAGGAAAACGGGAGGCTTGCTGATGAGTATAACTGTATTTGGATATTTATTATGGTTGCTTGAAAGTTGTTCACGAGCTAAAATCATCATCCCTATCGACCTTTGACATACATGCATATAATTCATAAAAATTGTTTATGCCATTATGCATCGATTATACAATGAATATAGTTTCTTTACGCTGTAGTACTAAAAAACCAAATATTATACAGGGCCATTTCTCATTTAGGAGGAACAATTTGAATTAAAATAAATTTTATATACATTTTAGATTTACTCTTCATTCTTTCCTGCCGTATTACTATCACATTAGAGGTAAAGGACAAAGGGATGGTTTTACCTATGTCACATACATTAACGGTGGTCATCAACCGTGGACAATACTATATCCTTTTTTATAATTATTATTATTGTTATTATTATTATTATTTTTTTTTTTTTGCCTTATTTATATTTTAAAAAACTGTTCCATTTCAACTTCTATATATTTATACATGGTTAAATTAACTGCAGTGCACGGATCATCTCAGGCATTACGCATCAAAGCTATGTTGGATTGGTGAAATTTTCAAATGGCTCGTAATGCGAGTAAGACAAGCGATACGATGGATTTGTCATAAAACGGTATCACGATTTAACTTTGCACCTTGAAATTATCACAATATCCAAGGAATACCAAGAAGCCCGTCTTAAGTCTTCAATAAAATACATATGTACAATACTTTAACACATGCTTAGGTCAAGATTATAGTAGAAATGAGAATAACCTTGTTATTGTTTTTTAAATAACAAAAAATTTAGTATTCTAAGTAAATCGCGTACATATATATGTAAAGTCATAAAAAAACTGGTGATAATGTTAATTTCGCAGGAAATCAATTATACTTTGTTAAAGCTTTTTGTTATCTTTTATTTGTTTTAAATTAATATTCTTGTTTAAATGTTAGGAATACGGCAGTTATATACTTTAGTTCATTTTCTATAATTATTATTAGTATTATCAGGTAATTAATAAGATAACTAAAACTTCGAAACGATTATATATAGTTAAGGGATGTGAACATGTGTCCATTTGTATTTTAATTCACAGACATGCCGAACAAAAAAAAAAAAACTTTTTATATACACATACGTGCGCATACATACATATTAATTAACATCTACTTTTCTATTCTACTTCAAGTCCAAATTTTTTTTTTTTTTTTTGCTACTTTTATAACTTATTTTTATTATTGATATATATCACTGAGAATATTTTGTGTTTTATATTTACCTCAACAAAATGCGATTGTTTATCAAGCCTTTCGTAATGCAAAATGTGGAAAGTTCGGTTTCAGCCGAAAAATTTTAATAGAATTATCAAATAACCTGTACAGTATCGAAATTTAAATGTAATTAATTTGTTTAATGAAGAGCTTTTATTATATACTCTTTTTTTTATTTCTACTTTCTTTCTGTTTATTTTTAAACAATTTCGTTTATTACTGAAGTTGTAATGGCGTAGTTCAACGTGTCATCATTTTAGAGAAAAAATGTTTTTCAAATCAGTCTCATATATTTGAAATGTTTTATTAAGAAAGCAAAAGAAAAAATAAATAAACAAAATAAAAGAAAAGATATATAAAATATTTAAGAGAATATTTTGAGTTTTTTTCTTATTAGAATTATTTATAGTTTAGTATTGCCTTGCTATTATTCTCCTCTACTCCTCACGCACACGCACATATATACCCCTACCACCGCTCTGTCTTTCTCTCAGCCTACTACTATTTTTTTCATGTACCATTAATCTCTTTTCGACAATCCAGACTGACTACAAAAATCATCTTGTGCAGTCCTTTCGCAGATTTCAATGGATACGCACGCACTCAAAGCTTCTCTTCTCTACTTGCTGCATGAATGGCAAAATGAACAATTATTTTTAGACTAATAGTCATTCGTGATTTGCCTGTAGAGAGGGGGAAAAATTTTAAATGAAGCCATTAAAATTTACTCGGACAAGAAAATGCCGATCGTTTATAGAACTTTTTTCATTCACAACTGATGACCATCAGCCAATTGCGTAGCAGCTACATTGCAATATCTTGTGTGCCTCTTCGACTATTAAAGAAATGCGTTGAATAAAAACTTCATTTGGCTTACATTAGATATGGCGGATATCTGTATAATCAAATTAAATTAAAAAAAAAAAATAATCAAACTATTTTTATCCGAAGCACATGAGACCCTGAAGAGTATAAACTTTACATCCCGAATTCTTCTCACTTTTTGAAGTCTTTCTTCTCCAGCATTACATTAAATATAAATTATCTGTGTTTCTACCCTTTTCCTTTTTTTTTTTTTTAATAATTTGCTTAGATAAAAAAAAACAATATGAATCATATGAAAAAATTAAGAATCTGCCATAACCTCCTTATTTCCAGATATTTGCCCAACAGCAAGGAAATAAATATGGCGCCTATGACCTAATACGGGAATGGCAATCCAAAATTTTTTACTAACTGTAAAACACGATGAATTTTAACCATAATATAACCATAATATTTTGATCATAATTTATGCAAGTGTGGTTAGTAGTCATTTTGTAGATGGTATTAGTGCGGTTAGTCGTCATTTTGTAGATGGTACCTTGATCATTATTTATGCAAGTGTGGTTAGTAGTCATTTTGCGGATGGAATAGTGCTAGATAAACATAAAAAAAAAAAACCGTTTGAAATGTAAACAATAGCACGTGCATCACAAAGGTAAACAAAAATTAGAATTTGCAACAACCATTACATAGGGTACCAGCGCTACAGTAACAAACATAGACGATACCAGTTTTACAACACAACCACACACAAAAAGCTTTACAAAACTAAACGCTTTTTAACAGGGTTGTATTTACGCAGTGAATCAACTAACAAGAAGAGATTTAAAATAGTTTGGAAAAAATCAAGACGACAACGGAAACTAAAATATTATCCCATTGCATGAGTATTAAATATGTTATATTCTTCTTACTCAAGGACTTTTTTAAAATGATTTGATCCAACCTCCTTTCAATAGAGTTCACACCCAAAGCCCAAGTCAAAATTAAACGTTTTTCTTTTCACAAAGGTCAAGTAGTTCATAAGCGAAAAACAAAAATCGCACCAACTAAATCCAGGTATCGTATATACTTTATTCGATGGTATAGTGAATACGTCAAGAAAGATCAATTGTGCAATAATATACTACGTTAACGTTTGGTGTAGCCCTTCTCGCGTGAGCGAGAGTTGATTTTAAGCATTTAATAATCGCGTTAACAGTGAATGTATATCTTGTTTGCAACCAACGAATCATTGAAAATATGCGCGAACAGGTGTTGTTGTGATGGAAGATATCGTCTTTCCTCAATATTGAACATTTTACCTCAATTGTGCGCTTTAATCGCATTGATGGTTGACATTGTTGACGAATACATTCATATCCTTCACAATTCAATTTAATTCACAACAATTCACGGGATATATTTAATGTTCGTATACAAAAACGAACCAACTATTCAAAATCAAACTGTATACATTTTAGAATAAGAGTTAATATGATGCTTTATTAGCATTATATTAACTGTAATAAAAAATCTTATCGCTATTTACATTTCACTAAATATTTCATTGAATGCAACGATGGAAAAAGCAAAATTTCAACTGAACGTAGCCCTTGATGGTGTATTGACTTCATTGGCTGTTTATTTTTAGCTGATAAGATGAATAAGATAAAAAGTCATATCTCGACAATTCAAATAATTTTTCGCCTATGATATTTTTTGCTATTTAAGCAAGGCAGCCGCTTAGGACTTCTTTTATTTATTTATATAAATCAATGATCCCCACTCGTTGATTAAATTCAACCACATCTTAAGGTACGCTGTTGATGCAAATCGCATTCGTATCAACGTCAAACTGACTTCAATAATTTGGTCATTAAATTTTATGAAATTAAATCTAAAAAAATGCAAAAATCTTTCCTACTGAAGGAGAAATTCTTTTAATACTGAGCACTTCATCGATTTACAAAAGTTGGGGAACGTTCATCATAGGAGTTCGATTCGAGTATATATTACGTTTTAATTTCCACATAAACCCTCCTTTAAGTAAAGCTAGGTCGGCGTTAGGCTTATTAAATGATGATCTATAGAACATCATGATCCTTAGATTACAAAAAGTCTATACATAAACTTAAAAAGGCTAATACTTGAATTTGTCTCTATTGTCCCATAGCCGTTAAGTTGATTCAACAGAATCTGTTCAAAAGCAATTCTTGCTAATTGCCCTTTAGCAGTTTAGGTTGGCACCCACGTGTCTCTCTGTCGCCTTATGAAAATAGATTGCTTCTGTTAGATTTGCCCACATTACTTGGTGACATAGTCTTTGGTTTGCCGAATCGTTTCTCTAGAAATTTTATCTTCCTAAAGCTTAATCTCAACATCGGACTCTTTAAATTCTATCGAAGCAACTATCCTTAACACGCTGGATTTGCCTATGTCGTATTTAAACTAACTTGGAATCTTTACAGCATACTATGGTTAAAAAATGAAATTGTTTTATTTACTGTTATCTGCTCCCAAGCTTCTGCATGTCAGCAATGTCTTAGGGGTTCGCAATTTGGATGTGTGCCGGCTGCGTGTGTGCGTCTGTGCTGGACATGTGCATGCTTTTTTTTCTCCCATGAATTTTATTTTTCTCTTTTCTTTTTTTCTTTATTTCTCTTATATACTTTGCATTAGTTTTTAATAATAATTAATACGACTTTTAAGAATACTTTTAGTATTATTTTTAAGAATCAATTGAATTCGTCTGTTAATATGTTTTAGCTGAGTTTTATGGCACACTTATGGTTAAAGGGCACGTTGATTTTTGCTATTCGGGCATATTTCAATGCAAGCACAGTTGTCACCCGACACATCAGAATCATATAGATTCAT